TAATTTATATATACACAATTTTTTCTTGCTTTGAGTTTTAAAAGACAAAGAAATAGATATCCAACATGATTAACAATGTAAAGAACCATACAGAACACATGTGTCATTTCCCATTAATTCTGAGAATAACAAAAACTATTTTCAAAACCTTGAGATCAATTTTTGTACTATCAGCAAACTTTTGAAAAGTCACAGAGAGTGGTTAATTTAACAAGTTTTAATGAGCTTATACTTAGAACATTGTAGTGCTTCAAGTGCTCATACCAACAGAAATTTCCATCAAAATGTTTGATATGCATTGTTATTCCATGATTTTTTTGGACAATCCTAATTTGTTTATTTTTTTTATTTTTGTTGTTTTTTAATAAATAACATCTGAGATTCCTAGGCACTCACCCAACTAAATTTTGTTCAGGTTCATTATCACTTAACTTTCATGAATTGACAATCATAAGCAAATATCTTTCCTAGAAAAACAATTGAATGATCAGGTCAGATCACACACCAGTAACCAACCAATCTATTGTTAGACATTCTACCATGTAACTAAATTGGTATCATAGTAAAATTATTACAACTATATCCAATATCATCATACTTTTTGACTGGGAAAGCTCTCATATTATGATCTATAAAATCCAATATTTTATGAATCAAATTAAAATTCACAGCAGGGAAAACACAAATAGCTGAGTTAGATTATTTACATTTTCAACTGAAAAAAATGGAATAAAAAAACAACATATTTTACAGAAATAATATTTAAGAAATCATTTAATCAAAAATCAATAACAGTAACAAATTGCAGACAGGCCATTTTTATGAACCACTACCTTTTTTCAATTATTACCATCGCTTGAATAGCTTAACAAAAATATTTTTGTTAATTTATCTACTTTAAGTGCTAATGACACCAAGAAGTAGCAACAGTAAACAATAAAGATTTAAACAATTTTCAATAAGCTTGAAATCAACAAAAAAGTAGTCACAGAAATGTATAAGGGAGCATATAAAGGAATGTCTAAAATCTAAATGACCACTTCTAGATTCAAACCTGAACCTTTTACCAATAGTTAGAATCCTGTAAAATACTTATTTTATACAATACCAAGAATTTTATAAGAACATAAATGTACTATTTGCATTAGATAACAAGATAAAAAAAATGTCCAAGCTCTGTAAAATGAACTAGATTCTAATTTAGCAATTGATCCCAACCACCCTGATCATTTAAAGGGTGTCAATTGAATAAACTATAGCAGATACAAATATGTAAAAAAAAAACAAAGATATATTTCCATGAAGTCATCTTTGCAATTATGTTGCTATTTGGATTGTTCATGCATGTGTATATTTAGCTGTATGCATAATATGGAAATAGAATGAAATATTAAAATAAAATATTAATATTATTAAAAAAAATAAACAGTTTTGAAATTCATTAAATTGAATAAAGGGAGATTACTTCTGATAATAAAGTTCAATAAGAATCAGCATGAACAACAATAAATTAATTACATGTATTTTCAAACAATTCTAAAATAAGATAAATTTCTATCGATTCAAATCTTCTTAAAAAGAATTTTAAATTTCTATTAAAAATGTCATCAAAGTCATTAACTGGCTTCTGTTAACCAAGTGGTAAATAATTTAAGTAAATGCCTCCCAAAATGTATTTTTCTTAGTCACATGTCATAGCTAAACATAGACACTAGATTAAATGGATTAAATCAACTTGATGAACAATTTAGATGTAGCTATACTTCAAAAGTATAAAATGTGAATTGGAGAAAAGCTGATTTAGTAATAAGAGTAGATAAAAGAAGCCTGATAATTCTCATATGAGTAAAAGTAATTCTCAGTTCCAATTAGTAGCTGAGTCATAAATCAGAGACTGGATGCTATTTTAAAACATTCAGAATTCAAATTTCATGTGTCTGCAGATATGTTGTAAAAGACAATGAAAACTGAACATCACTGGGTTGCTGAAATTTCACAATGTAAGTGGCATTGGAGGAAATGGCATAGGTTAATAGGTTCTCAGAAGAGTTTGAAAAATGAGTGAATTAGATTAGGGAATGACAACAAATTATGGAATCAAACAGCTTGAACAGATGTGAAGAGTACTGTAAACTGTTCTCACCTCAACAAAAGATGAAAATATTAAATTCAACAAGCATCACACAAAATCAAATTCTATCAGAAATTATGAACATTTCATACAATTCCAATGATACCATCCAATTTTTTCATCCAAAACAAAGCAAAGAAATTTATGCTATCTTGATTTCTTTGTATCAAATTCAAAACTATTTATGAGACATAAATTGTATGGGGCATTTTGAATTCCCATTAAACAATAAAATTTAATTAAATATCTCATGGAATTTACATTATTTACATTTAAAGAGTAAAAAGAAATAATACTTAATGGTAAGAAAGCAACAATAAAGTGAAAGTAGATAAACTATTGACAAATCTAAGGATCATTAAATATTTTGCTATATAACTGAAAACAAATTTTCTAATTCAAATCCAGTGGAAATCACCTACTGTAAGATATGAGTAACATATACAGAAATAAAAATTCTCAATTGTCTCTGTTAAAAATGATAGAAGTTTTAAAATAGGCTCATTTTTATCAACAGCCCATAGTTGTTATAGAACGACCTCCTAGTACTTACTACCTATTTGTACTTACAACTACAGATTTATTAAGTATTGAGAACAATAAGCAATTTTTAAATTATATATTAATCTCTTCCTTCAAATATATTAATAAATTAAATAAAACATTCATTTCCACTTAAAATCATTAACCAATATTCATTCTCAAATCTCTAGAAAAAAATTTAACTTTGTATGATTTGTTAACAAAATAGAATCCATGACAGATGTCCATAGGTGTATTTTATGTATTTTTGTTGTTTAATAAGTCTTTGCTTTATAATCGTTTTTTCTTTTGTAGTATCATTTCGACAATATAAGCTACAAGCCTTTTTCTGAAAGTTAAAATTTCTTATTATCAGTTATAAATCTAAATTCTATCTATGAGATTTATATATCACTGATATTTAATGATCCATGCCTGCATGGTGTGTATCACAAGTGAATGAATATGCTTTATATACAAAAGTAATAATTTCAATGTATGTAAACAGTATTTCTGATAGTAATTCATGTTCCTGACTTAACTTACAGATAGAGTGTATATTAAAAATTATAATGTAAAAGCATTTCCTCAATGTATAGAGTGGCCTGCATATGTTTGTCTCAATAAGGGTTTAATAGCTACTGGAGTTTATGTAAAATAATTCCCATATTAAGAATGACTGAATCAAATTTATCATAAAATCCATTCCAAATTATAAATAGTAACATTAGTTATAAATTATCAATATACCAGCATAAAAAATAGTAATCTACACTTATTTCACTCAACTAGCAACATTTACTTACAAAACAAAAGATAGAGCCAGCATTGTATTGTTTTTAATATAAATAATAATTCTGCTTCCAGTCACCACAAATTGTTACTTTTCCAAATATACCTAATAAATTATTTAAATAGACTGTGAGTGACAACATATTTACTTTCCTTACAGTTAATAATGAATGATTTAACAATACAAGCAGATGTTTTTCTTTGCCAAAAATTTTATCTCACACTTAATAAGTAACTTTTTATATTGTGAGAAGTGACTGAAGTTGCTAAATCTTCAAATGATATGGTTACACTAAGCTATTGGTCTCTTATAAGCAAGTAGATTTACATCCCTTACAATTTATTCAAATGAACAAAAATATTTTCTAAATAATTTTGCTATATCTTTTTTCAGGTAAAATTGATAAAAAATGGAATTAAATCACACAAGTGCTTTGCTAATCACGACTTTTCATATTTTCAGGAATCAAATAATAAAATGATTTTTAAATGTATATATTTTATATGTGATGAAAAAGAAAAAATAAATGATCTTTTCCTTTGATAAAGGATCAAACTTTGTGCAACAGTAAAATAAGTGTGTATTGATTTTTTTTTGCTTCGTTTTGTTTTTCTGCTGTTTCCTTTGCACAAAACTACTTGAGCCTGCCCTCTAAATATTATGAAGTATGATAAGTCACTGTATTTGATGATTTCAGGTCTTGTAGTATTACACACATCATAGCATCCTTCTGTCAATATTTCATTGAATAAGTTGAATCATTCAAGAGCAAAAAAAATCATTTTTTGTGGTGTTAACATTAATAGATTAGCATTCATAGCTCAATTTTTCAATTAAAACAAAAACAATAAGAGATTCATATCAGTTTTTAGCACTTGTAAACTGTGAACTGACATTATTTAATTAAGACATATTTTGGGGCAATTACATGCATACATATATATATTGCCCATCTCCAAACTGTGATAAGTCTTAAGGTGACATGCTTAAATCACAGGAAGAATAAAAAAATACTTTTATAGTTTTAAATAAAATAACCTTAAATTTAACTATTTACTCAAAATTCTGTAAAAAGTACAGAAATCCTTATATAATAACAAGATAATAATAGAACTTCAGATGATATTTGTTTGTTAGCTATTATTCTTTTGAAGTTCCTTATGGAATTGGAATTTTTATTGGTGAGAGACTAAAACTTTAGTAAAATCTGTGAAAACAAATTTGCTATTTTCATATACTATTTGAGATTTAGACAAAATTTCAAACAGATAATGCAAATTTACTATTCCAGGATATTGTTTTAATTATCCTACATCGTTTTTTCTTAATAAAATAAAATATATTCTTTTAATTTGGAAATTTAATCATTTTCTGATTCTTTATTGTGAGAAGATAATGTCATTTCATTGGGAAATTATAATTTTAAACACTTGAACATATTTCTATTCAGAAATATATCCTTATATATTTCATATATCCTTATATATTTCATATATAGGTAGATATAAAGGTGATCAGGTGTATATACAGTCAGAGACTATAATGAATAGATAGTTAGAAACCAGCTGAGATAGATATGAAAAAATATACATACAAAAAGAAAGAAATGTACAAATAAACTGAGATAGATAGATAGATAGATAGATAGATAGATAAGTACATTTCAGAAATTTTGTTTAAAATCTGAAACACTTCACAGGTATTTCCTCCATTCAGAAAAAAATTATATAAAATCAATGAAGAGAGAAAAAAAATTGAGGTCTGCCCAAAATACAAAATAAAATTCCATTTTTTGTACTCTCATTTTCATTTTGTTTAAATTTGATGTCATCATCATTTTTTCTGAAAGTATTCATTTGTTTTGTGTGATGTGGTTGGCTTTTTGAAATATTTTTGTCCAACACAACAGAAATGTTAAAAATGACTTAAGCAGATCCATTGCTCTGCATAAAAAAAAAAAATAAAAGAGATAAAACTCTCAAGAAAAAAATGATCTTCTGTTAATCGACGAACCGTGAGCAGGCTTTTTTCCATTTACATTGAGTGCACCACATGTCTCTGTTTTCCATGCCATACACTTTGCGGCATTTTCTCACTTCACTGCGTGACTTTTTATGAGTCAATGTGCACTTTTGAGGAGAGGTCAACATGTGGCATTTTGGAGATTGGCTCTGGTGTTGCTGGAGTCTCTCTTGGGGACTTGGTTTGTTAACACGGATTGGTGCAGATGTCTGCAAAAGTAGTCAATCACGTAATAAATGTGAAAAATTGAATATTAACAATACATAATTTATAATATATGTGGTGCAAAAGTTCTAAAATAGTACAGAAAAAACAAATATTAATCTTATGCAATCTAGCGATTTTTCTTACATAATCTCTACTAATAAAACAAACATAATACATGGTGAGTGTGCAGCATTACCATATTGAGAAATAGCGTTAATTAGTTATTTTAACGCTTTGCACAGGTAACTGCTGATTGTTGTTAACCTTGTTTTGATAGTAGAATAAAAGTGTTTACTACTGTTATACTACTTTAAGATCTCTTTCTAATTTACAAAGACATTTCACCAGACATGTTAGCCAGATATGAGTGCTAAGAAAGCAAAAACACAAAATAAAAAAGTTGTCTTCCATGCAGGGACTCCAAGCATCACATCTGGCCCACAAAACAAATCCCCACAAAAATCCCAAAATGCAATAGCCAATCACAAACATTCCTGCTCAACAAAAAAAGAAAACAGAAAGAAAAAATATGTCCCTGGGAGACTATACCTATTAAACCAAAGATTTAATAATAGCACTCCTTGCTAACAACAGGCAGTTCAGCAACAATTCGACCTAGTCACACGACTACCAAACACTTCACCAGTATCAATATCAACCTTGAAGAAAGGTGTATGTCAAACCTTGCCAACAACTACATTTGGCTTCACTAATCCACTCCAGATCTATCTCCTGAACCCAACTGTGACCTCGGCCAACCAACCCAAGAAATTGGTCAATTCCCAGCCCTACTGACAACATCCTTACACCTAATTGCTTTCCTTACCAGTGGCAACTATGGAACCACATATAAACAATTTTTGCCACCTTTCACACAACTATGTATATATTCTGAATTTTGACCAATACATGTTGTTGAAATCTTAATCTTTGTTTGTTCCTTTTCTTTGTAACTTAATGTTCATTATAACACTACTAATCCTTTTTGGAGGAAAAGTGAAGGTGATATTTCCGCCAACACTACGCAAGAGAAAGAAAGAGCAAATACAATTTAATAACAATAATGTGTGCTCTTGTCTATGCTTCCAATGAGTACCCTGTGTGTTTTTGATGTGGATACACCTCTGAGTGGCTTTTGGTGCATTGTTATATAGGCCAGTGACAGGCTCCAAATAAAAGCAAAAATTTAATATTTTTTTTGTTATATTTCCATTGGTTGAGAAAGGTCACATTGCGTGCTTACTACTACATCCATGTGGGGCAACACCAAGTTTATTTTTAGACTTGATGAAATTGTAGTTGTAGAGGAAATTTGAAAATGTATTTTTATTTATTTTCGAAGTCCCAACAAATGACTTAACATTTATAATAAAAAGTTTGTACCTACATGACCAATAAATGAATAGTTCCTTTTAATCATTTTTTCATAAAGAAGACAATGTATTATTTTATAGACAGGCATTTGATAACCTATGAGGCTAAATGATTATATTTACAGGGTGCATTGGGTAAATTGTTGCCATTTTATATTTTTAATTTTGCACATGCACACTGATTGTTTTTGATTTTGTCGACTGCACAGTATAGTAGGGTCAGTTGGGCACCATCTATGAGAAAAAGAGCACCATGATGCAATTCACTCCACCAGAAATTTGGAAACAGCATGCTGAACTGCTTGGCATTTGCATCAGAAGCTCCAGTATGAACATTTCAGAGTGTTTGAGTATCAATCTGAGGACAGTAAAGAGGATTTGGAAAGAATTGGATGAGTCTAATGGTGATTATGAAACTATGGCAGCTCAGAAAACTCAATCTGATTGTTCTGATATGAAAAGAAATCCTAAATTTGTTGGTGTGGAGCTCAGACTCACTATGTAGGCCTACATGAAGTGCCTTGAGGATGTAGTGCTGTCCTGGGTCAAGAGGATGCCTACTGGAACACCCTATGTCTGGCAACAGGACTCTGCACCATGTCACACAAGTAGGAGAACCCAGTCATCTCTGTCAGACAATTTCTGTGACCTTATCACACCTGGCCACCTAACTCCCCAGACTGCAACCACCTTGATTATTATGTGTAGGGCACAGTTGAATGAGAGACCGGCAAAACTCCTTGTAACACTAACGATGAACTGAAGGCAAAGATTATGGTAGTATTCATCAACTTAAACAAAGAAACAGTCCAGAAGGCTTGCAGAAGATTCTGAAGTTGTTTGGAGGATGTGGTTGAAGCCAATGGCAATTTTATTGAATAAATTTACTCTTTAGCATTTCATGATTTTTAATTTTGGTAAATATATCTGTTAAAATGAAATGTCAGTGTTATTTTCATTTTTGCATAATTTAGATGACAATTTATCCATCGCACCCTGTATATGTGAAAATATTGCGATAGGGACATATAGACTTAGAAAGATTTAGAGAGACTGATATTTCAATTTCTCCTTTCTGAAATAACATAAAGGACTAATTTTCTAATAAAAAAAATGGAATCAAATCAAAACTTCCTCATTTTTTCCCTATATTCCTGGAAAACAACTCTGGTAAACTTAATTCAAATTTCTATACCAAATTTTTCGTAGTTTCTCTGGTTAGAATAGATTAAAGACAAAAATAACTGTTTTCTTTTATTTTTCAAAATAGAATATTCCTAATCTGATAACTCAGTAAAGGTGAAAACTTTGGTATAAAAAAACAAAACAACCTTTATACTGCACTATTTTTTAAGTAAAATTTAAATGAGAGATGAGAAATTTCTAAGCATTTTTTATTTGAAAAATAAACTGTAGAATGTTTATGCTTAGATAAACAGCAATAATTGTTCATAAATCTTGATTTAAAAGTTTGAAAAACTATCTAAAAATCACAAAATTCACCAAGTGAAATATATGGATTTAGAATAAATGTTAACTCTTCAAGGATTTGGTTATTATCATTACAAAATTCAATGTGTTTACAAAAAATTAAATTTCCTATAGTGAAGCCATAAATTGCATGCCCACAGTGTAAACAAATATATATATATATATATATATATATATATATATATGATTAATACAAATATAAAATTTGTCACAGCTGTGAATGATGTTATTTTCAGCATCTAAACTCTAGTTTCATAGACGGACCGTCCAGTAATTGCTCCGTCCACTCTTCAGGAGATGCCAGAATGGATTTGTATTACTTCAAATGCTATTTTTAGTAGAGTGATTTATTTGAGTAGACACCTAGTTTGTTAGAAAGTGTGTTTACATTTAATGGCATGTGCACTCAAGAAAACTTAATAGAAAAAATATGCTATCAACCTGCATTTCCCTTTGTAGGAGAAACCACAACCTGATCTGGCATGTTTTAAACCACTCTGCCACAGAGAGCATTACAAACCTTCAAGCTTCTATTTACCCTTTTTCTATTAAGTATTACTAGAGTGTGAAGGCTGATGGACATAATACACATGTCTTAAAACATACAGTGTCTACTCAAACAAGGGTATCCACTAGACCAGTGGTTTTCAACCAGGGTTCCGCGGAACCTTAGGGTTCCGCCAGTACAGTCCAGGGGTTCCGCAATTTCTAAATTAGAACATGAACAAATAAACAACATGTTAAATTCAAATTCGAAAATCTATTTTATTAACCCACAAACTGTCAGACGGCCGATTAACTGTTGTTATTTTTTTCAATTTCCAAATCATCGAAACTCTTTTACAGATTTTACAACCATGGATAGATTTGTGAAAAAACGCAAGACAGATGCGGATGAAGAGACACAGGATCTGAGGCACTCTTTTGAAGCCGAAACTACTACGAGCAATGCTGCCTCATCGAAATCAAGAAATGGTGGAATTAACCTACAACTAAAAGTTCGTCAATATTGTGAAAACTACATAGCTCTGGGATTTACTTGGACTGGAAACCCAGAGTGCCCTTCCTGCTTTGTGTATTATTTGTGGGGAGAAGCTGGCTAACAGTGCTATGGCACCAGCCAAACTGAAACGACATTTAGTAACTAAACATCCAGAGTTGTCGAGCAAAGATGAACAATATTTTCAACGACAAATGAAATGTAATAAAAGGCAGGTTTCTATGTTTGCCAAAAGTTCAAATTGAGTGACAAAGCACAAGAAGCAAGTTATGCTGTGATGGAGATAGTTGCAAGAAAAAATGAAATCTCATACCATCGCTGAAACTGTAATTTTACCTGCATGCCAAGAAATAGTGAGGATAATGTTTGGAGAGGATGCTGTATCAGAAGTAAATGAAATTCCACTTTCTGACAACACAATAAGTAGGCACATTCAAGACATGTCAGGAGACATTGAATGCAATCTTAAATCAGAAATACTGAAACATAACTTTTTTGCACTTCAAGTTGATGAGAGTACGGACATTAGTGGTAAAGCACAACTCCTTGTATTTGTTCAATTTATTGATGATGAAGCTATTGTAGAAGACTTCCTGTGTCTCAAAGAATTGCCAGGGACAACGAAAGGACAAGATGTATTTGATGTTTTGAATTCATATTTAGAGTATTGTGGATTAAACTTGAAAAACTGTGCTGGTATTTGTACAGATGGTGCCCTGCAATGACAGGATGTCTTAAAGGCTTTGTCTCAATCGCACAAAAAACAAAATCCAAATATTATCCATACTCATTGTTTCATTCATAGAGAAGCACTAGTAGCTAAAACTCTTGGATCTGAACTAAAATCTGCATTGGATATGGTAGTTAAAATAGTTAATTACATCAAGATGAGGCCACTTAAATGTCGACAGTTTGAGAAACTTTGTGTGGGTATGGAAGCAGAACATTCCACCTTAATCCAGCACACAGAAATATGATGGTTGTCAAGGGGGAAAAGCATTGTCTCGTTTTTTACGAATTAAGAGAAGAGTTATTGACCTTTTGTTTGCAAGAAAACCTGAAAGACTTTGTAGAATGTTTAAGTAATGGCCATTGGTGTTCGAGTTAGCATATCTTGCCGATATATTTCATGAACTAAACCTCATGAACAATAGCATGCAGGGCAGGAACGAAAATATCTTGTCTTCTACTGACAAAATAAATGCTTTTCAGAAGAAATTGACAATATGGAAGAAAACGCATAGCTGCAGGAAATTTGGAAATGTTTCCATGTGTTTTTAAAAGGAATTGTCAAGAAATTAGGCTACTGATTTTGAACCATTTGGACACTTTGTTAACAAATCTTGACAAATATTTTCCATCAATATCTGTTGAGCAGTATGACTGGATTAGAAACCCATTTGTAGAATTTGAGCCGCCTGAAGAACAGTTCACATTAACAGAAGAAGAAGAACTTGCCAGTGTTCTAAATGACAGGACATTAAAGCTGAAGCATTCTGGACTTAACCTGAATGCATTTTGGTTGCTGGTTGAAAAGGAATATCTTGCAATTGCCCAGAAAGCACTACGACTTCTTGTGCAATTTTCAACCTCCTACTTGTGTGAATTTGGATTTTCAGCTCTGACAACCATCAAGCACAAGAAACGAGCTCAATTGCGGTCTGTGGAAGATGAACTTCGTGTGTGTCTGTCAAAAACACGACCCAATCTTAAAGAGTTGTGCAAGAAACACCAGGCTCAAGTTTCCCATTGACTTTTTTCATAAGAATAAATGTAATCTATTCAAACATGTACACTTTTGTTTTCATTTCATTTACAATACTCTGAACATGAATATTTTCATTTTATTACAATTTGCATTTTTTTGTATAATTAATTAAATGCTGTTTTTTGCATAAGACAACCAAATTATTGCACAGGGGTTCCTTGAGCCAGTGGAATGTTTCCATGGGGTTCCACTCCAGCAAAAAGGTTGAAAAGCACTGCACTAGACATTGCTAAATGTTATAGCACATCGGATTAAATGATGGTTTCCATATAGGAATTTTCATGTTCAATTCCTGTCAGAAAACACCTATTTTCTACAAAATTTTTTGAACATTCAGGCCAGTAAATGTAATTAATACTGTTTAATTAAAAGCATTTACTTAAATAAATTGCATCTATAAAAATAACATATAAACAGAAAACATATTAAATAATTGTCGGACTTAATCCATTTTTCTCTCTCTCACACACACACATATATATATATATATATATATATATATATATATATATAAAAACATGTCTCATTAAACAATTTAGACAAGTTCTGTGTACTTATTCTTAACAGGATCCTCTCATATTTACAGATGAGTTTCTTAGTTATCCTTATTAAAGAAAGAAAGAAAATTGACATGTGGATGTATATCCATTTTATTTCAGAGTACTTTTGACATTAGTGCAATATCATCTTCAGGGTCTTGTCTTTGCTAAGACAAAATTGCTGTGTTAAACTTAAAATTAAATTTTTTACTTGTGAAGTGAAAAATGCTAAACTTATGCACTGTATAATTTTTAAATTTTATGATGTAAACTTACATGTGCAGTAACGTCAAGGGAGGTAACTAAGTTATTGAGATATATGACTATTTTTTAAAAAACTATTTAAAGCTATTAGTTATATCCTAGATATTTTAAACTATTTACTATAAACATTTTAAAACATTTGTACAGTATTTATAATTAATTTTATTAAGGGGTGTTTTCAATTTTTTAATATAGATAGCTTCAAGAATTTTTAGTTTTTATTTATTATTTTCATGAAAAAGTATAGATGTATTTTTGACAAGAATTTTTCTAAATTGTGAATGTGGACAGACATGCTGTTGTAAATGCTGAATGATGTTAGATGCATCATTCATATGAAAACTCAACTTTCTAGAAAACATAGTTGTGGTGTGACCAACATAAATATTAATTTTTATGTTAGAGATACAACCTCCCAAGGGACATAATGCTAGTTTTCTGCAACATGTTAATTGGTGGGGAGGAGTCATTACAAATGATTAAATTGGACATATTGAATTTAGTGTAGTATATAATTAATTTTATTTTTTTACTAGGATCTGTAGTGGGTATATTAGTATTTATTTTTTTTAGGATATATTTGTCCTGTTTATAATTAGAATGTATCTGATTGTGATATAAAATATTAATATATTTAGGATTATTTGAGGAAGTCTTATATTCTTTTTGCTTTATATTAAAATTTCTAGTAAAACATCTAATTTATTCATTGACAATATAATTAGGGAAGTTATTATTAATAAGAATTTGTTTTATATTTTTTAGTTCACTATAAAAAATCTGTTTTGTGGATGAGTTAATTTTTGCACCATTTATTAGGTTTTTTTATAATTGCTATTTTATTGTATTCACTCTTATAGTTAAGAGTGCACCAATTTACACTAGTAGGTTTTTTATATGGGGAGATAGTGAATTTATTATTATTAGTGTTTATCAATATATCTAAAAACAGAATTTTAATACTGTTATTAAGTTTGTATGTAAATTTAAGAGCAGAATTATTTTGTAATTGTTTTTGAAGTTGATATATTTCATCTATATTCTTGACTAAAATAAGGATATCATTGACAGACAGATGGAGGGCTTCTAAATTTATTAAATATATTATTTTCAAGACTAGACATACAGAAATTACTAAAAGTTGGGCACATGGAAACACCATTCTGTTGTATATATTTTTGTGATCATAGAATGGAACTTCAGTAGTGCAAGTTAACAGTAGTTTCCATAATATACTAGGTGTAATTTTAAGTGGAGGTAAAGATGGAATATTGTATATGTTTCCTATACTAATATCAATAGTTTTGCTAACTGGAACATTAGTGAATAAATTTCCAATGTCAAGTGAGGCTATGGTTTCAACATTAGGTTTTTCTTTTTTTTAGAATTTGAATTAATTCAAGAATTGATTTTATGCTATATTTACTGGAAATGTATGGTGTGATAAACTGATTTATGGTTTTTGATAAACAGGAGTGGGAATTTGAGATATAATAGGAAAGAGAGGATAGTCTGTGTGTTTTTATGGTGCCATATATGTAACCTGGCCTATAATCTTCAACTATTTTAGGTAGTTTTAAACTGTCTTGTTCAGCATTATTAGCTAAGTTTGTTAATTTTTAATTTCAGTTGGTCAGTAGAATTCCTGGTGATTTTTTTAAAAATTTTGTATGGTCATTAAATATTTGTTCTAGTTTTACATTATAATCAGATTTGTTCAAAACAACAAAGATGTTTGTTTAGTCTGCTTTTTTTAATGATTATATCTGGATTATGGTGTAATCAGTTGTTCTTCCTGAAGTTTTTTTGATACTTTGATATAATAATTCATTTTCAGATTTTTAATTAGACCATTATATTTACTGTTGGGCCCCAGATTAAGCAATTCCATTTGATGTTTTGTTAACTGAATGACATTACTGCACATGTATGTTTACATCATAAAATTTAAAAAATTGTACAGTGCATAAGTTCAGCATTGTTCACATCACAAGTAAAAAATTTAATTTTCAGATTAACACAGCAATATTGTCTTAGCATAAACAAGACCCTGAAGATGCTAATGTCAAAAGTACTTGGAAATGGATATATATCAACATGGTAATTTTCTTTCTTTAATAAGGATACTAAGAAATTCATCTGTAAATATGAGAAGATCCTGTTAAGAATAAGTAGACAAAACTTGTCCAAATTGTTTAATGAAATATGTCTTACTGAAAACATGCTGCCCAAATATACGCAATATGTACACACACAAAATTTGTATGACAGATATTTTTTGTACATTTTTTTATGTAGTTGATATATGAGAGTACAATAAACTATTTTGAAAACCAAGTTTTTCATGACACCTGTAATCTTTCTCAGTGCTCAATACTGAATGATATTTTTTTCTCTATTTTCTCTCATAAAAATAAAGAATAATTTTTTACAAATTACTGCACTTAATATATATATATGTATATAATATACACTTAGGTGTCTAATAGAAGTGGGGACTTATATATATTTTTTTATTAAATTTTCAGCTCCACAGCCTAAGCTCATGAAGATCACTCCATTTATTAATTTTGCTCTCCCCACCCCCCACCTCACAAGAAAACGGTAATTATTACAGTTGGTTCAATTCTTGACTTGCATGCTTTTCGTGATTGCATTGTTTAAAAAGTAGTGTTCCATTGTTTTCTTTTATTCATTCCAGAATTACCATGTTCCATTTTTTTGATGAACTTAATGTTTCTTTTACTTAAATTCTAAATTGTTGGGCCTTTAAATGATTTTCCAACCTGTTTTATTAAGACTCCTTTTCATAGAGAAAAAAATCAAATCCATCTTAATTATTAAGACCTTCAACTTGCATTAGTCACCTAAGGGCAAAAAGTTTAGATAAAATCAATTTTGGCATGTTTAAGAACATTTTATACACAAATTCTTAGACACACACACACACAAAGGAGATTAACAATTTTTATATATGACATAGAAACAAAAATTAAAGGGAATGAAAGCATTTCTCTTACCGAGATACCTGGTGGTGTTGTTGTTGTATTAACTCTATTTTGCCAAGAAAGAGATTTCTTTATCTGAGGCATGTTAATTGGGATTGGAGTTGATGGCCCTTCTTTTAAGTAATTTCCAGAGTTGGTTGTTGAAGAGTCTACAGATTGGCTTAAGTATCGATGTTCCTTTAAAAATAGAAAACAAATGGAGAATATATCTCATCATTGGTGTATAGTTATTTATTAAGCTTAGCCTGGCATAATGTCGCAAGATTGAAACACTTGTAAGGATTGACTCACTAAACAGTAATAGTGGTCTGTTTACCTTGCTGACTATGATCATAAAAGATGTTTTTGTCATTTGTGGACAGATATTAAAAAAACTTTGTTAGTTTAGAGTAAAGGTATTGAGCATAAAATAAGTTTTTACAAGTGACTATACTAAAAGTAGAAATTTTTTACAATGCAACAAGATCGAATTTATCAATTTTATCATGAACTAAAAGTATTTTTAAATTCTGTATATGTTGAGTGTTTCCGTATGCGTGTATTGAAATAAGGACAAACACATACGTAGGGAAAAATACTGGTATATCTGAAGAGGTATTTACAACAGAGAGATTAGTAGTCAAACAAACACAGGTTAGTCAGTAACAATCAGAAAGAGTATAAAGTCCAACTGTATCTTCCGGTAGAGAGATGGAAGTGTGATGGTCACCTGATCTTCCCAGAACTCTATAGAACTGTCCTATTAGTAGTAGAGAGATCAGTCCATTCTGATGAGAAGGTGCAATTTATTTATTGTATTTTGTGATGTTGGCCTCTTCATTTGGAAAACTTCGGGCCATTTACTATAGCTGTCAACTACGACCAAATAATGCCACCCGTCAATTGGACTTGCAAAATCAATATGAATCCTTGACCATGGCCTGTCAGTTTTTGGCTATGGCTTCTGTAGAATTTGCCAAAATGCAGCCTTTACATCTGCCAACCATAGACACGATGTCGTTGTCCATACTTGGCCAGTAGACATATGCTCTCATGAGGCTCTTCATTCTATTTATGCTCGGGTGACCTGCATGAAAATCTTTCAATATTCTTTTTTGGAGTGTACTAGGGATTACTACCCTTTCACTATATATTAGCACATTATCGCACAGAGAGAATGTCTCTTGAATTTTTTCGTCTTTTTTAGCTAGCTTGTCTTTTATTTCCATAATATATTTGTCCTTTTCTGCCTCTTTTTTGATGTCCTTAAAAATTTTACTGGTACTTCTCGAATTGCATTAGCCAAATTTTCTTCAACCTCGTCCTCTGCTCTGAGGGTTGCGATTACCGTATCCTCTAAAGGTTCTGTTGCTTTTGAATGAGTCTTGATAGACCGTCTAATGCGGACCAATTTTGTGGGTGGACAAATATTGTATTTTAAAGTTATAATTTAGAAAATTGTTCCCCACCTAAGCAATCTATTTGCGGTGTATGTTGGCAGACCCTTCTTCGAACCGAATATCGTTACCAAAGGCTTGTGGTCTGTCTGCAGCGTAAAATACCGTCCATGTATGTATCTATGGAACTTTGTTACAGCGAAGATAATCGCCAATGCTTCTTTTTTGATTTGTGAATAGTTTTGCTCAGCAGGTAGTAGCGATCTGCTTGCATGAGCAATCGGTCGAACTTTACCATCCTTCCACTTGTGCAATATGCACGCACCTACGCCGTGTGTACAGGCATCGCTCGCCATGATAATATCTACTTTTGGATCAAAATGTACAAGAAATAAATCTGATGTCAACTTTTCTTTTATATCCTTAAATGCTTGCTCGCATTCTTTTGTCCATATCCAAAGTTTTTCTTTTTTTAATAGATCGTTAAGGGGAGCTCGTAGAATGTGGAGGTCTGGGATAAAGTCCTGGTAATATGACACCAAGCCTAAAAAACTTTGTAGGGATTTACTATCCTTTGGCTCAGGCATATCTTTTATTGCTGATGCTCAATTTTTATCTGGCTTTTTCCCTTCTTTATTTACTATATGTCCCAGATACTTGATCTCCTCCAGGAGAAAATCGCATTTGTTTTCTTTCACTCTAAACCCATATCTTCTTAACCTTTCGAAAACTTTGCGTAAATGGTGTTTGTGTTCATCCACCGGTTCACTTTTCACGAGTATATCGTCAAGATATGCTATTGTGTAGTCTAAACCGGATAACATAGTATCCATTATTTGCTGGAATATTGCGGGTGCTGTCTTCACCCCGAACGGTAAACGTTCGTATCTGAACAAGCCTTTATGCGTGTTAATGCATAACAACTTTGCACTTTCGTTATCCATGGGTACTTGCAAGTATGCCTCGCTATGGTCTATTTTCGAAAAGATTTTTCCGCCATTTAACTTTGCGAACACTTCTTCAGGACTAGGTAGTGGATAGTGATACTCTTCTATTGCGTCGTTTAACCCAGTTGAAAAATCGGCGCAGACGCGAATTTTGCCCGACTTCTTCTTTTCTTGGTCAATTTTTTCTAATGCGGCAAAAGGGATGCTATGCTTTTTTTTAAAAATTGGTTGAATATTTTTCTTCAGCTGTATTTTTGCTGATGCTTCCGTGCAACATCCAAGTCCTTCAGCGAAAACTTCGGGGAATGCTATTTTCAATTCTGTTGTCTTTGCTTTCACTAATGTTGTTACAAAAAGAACTAATGGGCACGTCCCATAGATTGAACTTAGTGATTGCGTCAGTCCCAAACAGGTTGTTTGTGTTTTTCATTACAAAACTTTTCATTTTTATAGTCTTGTTGTTGAAGGTTATATTCACCCATATTTCACCTTCAAATTTGATCTTTTTTCCAGTTACCGTCCTGGCTATTTTGTTGGACTTTAGCAGAGTTGGCTTTCCTAGATTTTTCCATGTTTGTGTGTTAATAATCGAAATGTCAGATCCTGAATCCAGTTGCATTTTAACCTTCTTGTTCTACATTTTTACATGTAGGTATTTTCGAATATTCAGGTCTTGATCTTCATCTGACTTAGTAACTTTTACTTGACTTCTGCTTAATTTTCTACACTTGGACATCTTATTCCTACTTTCTTGCAATTTCTGCAAGCTTTATTTTTATATGGACAGTCATTGTACCAGTGCCACTGGCATCCGTAACATGCACTCGGAGGAGTTTTTTATAGTCTCTGTTCATTCTTGTGGTAGGATACCACTTCCGTTCAAGCGATGGAGAGCGGAAACAGAGTCTTCCTATTTACTTTCTTCACATTTGCGATAGCAGTTTCTTCTATTTTCTCTGAATCTTGCTTAATGCTTACGCATTGCTGACAGTACTCGGCTAGCTTTTGTAGTGTTGTGTTTTGCTCATTTTCTAGCTTTGCTAAAATGTGTCTTCGCATTTCGCTATCTTTTTTAGACACTAAGCCTAGCACGAATATTAGACACTTGAAATTGTCCGCCGATAATTTGGACAAGCGAAAATCGTCACACGTCTTATTTACAATTGACGCAAAAGTCGTCTAGTCTTTCTGCTCACTTTTTTGAATATTAAGACATTTCCACCTTTTGTGAAATAATGATAATCTGGGGTTGAAGAGCTCTTTTAGTAATTCAATCGTTTTGTCGAATTTTAGGTCTCTTGTCTTTTTGGGTAATATAAACTCCGTAAATTTATTATGTTCTGCCGTTCCCAGTTTCCGTAATAACAATCTTATCTTTTTCTCATCTGGCCATGTTTGGCAATCGACTTCATAAAAGTCCTGATATCTATGATAATATCTTTCGAAAGATTTTTCCTCTTCTGGGTTATAGGTAAAACTTTTGATCGTCGACCATATTGTGTCTTGAGAAAAAGTACTTTTATCCGAGTCTTTCTGCTTAGATAGTATAGCTTTATGTATAAGTTCAGTCATTGCTAACTGTTTCTTTTCATTTTCTTCTTGTATTTTATTTTGTTTTTTGTGTAGCTCCAGAAATCGTTTTGCATTTTCTTCAATTAACCTTTCCTTTTCTTCTTTCTGAAATTTCAGTTGTTCTTTCCGAAAACGTTATTCACTCTCTTTTTGTTCTTTCTGAAGTTTAAGTTGTTCTTCTTTTTGTTCTTTCTGAAATTTAAGTTGTTCTTTCTGAAAATGTTCTTCACACTCTTGTTGTCTTTGCATCTGATACTTAATGAGTTCCAGCATAGATGATTGAAATTGCTCCATGATTATGTATGTGTAGAGAAAAAAGAAAAATTATAAATTATGTTTTGTTTTTTTTTCTGAGGGGGGGCCAATAAATTAATCAAATTCTCTGGCACGGACAAAAAAATTTTTTTTTTTTAGCACAAAAAATTGGTTATTATAGATTCAATAGAATAAATAAGTTAATGTCTAACTTACAGTTTTTTTTTTCTTTTGTCGATAAACTTTTCAATCCTTTGCTGTGAAAAAATGCTTGAACTCTTTAAATTTTCCCGTGTTGAAATCGTTTCTTTCGCTGTTGCGATATTTATTTTTCAACGTAAGTTCTTTTTATCCGTTTGAATCCTCGTCACCACTGTTGAGATGTTGAGTGTTTCCGCATGCGTGTATTGAAATAAGGACAAACACATACGTAGGGAAAAATACTGGTATATCTGAAGAGGTATTTACAACAGAGAGATTAGTAGTCAAATGAACGCAGGTTAGTCAGTAACAATCCGAAAGAGTATAAAGTCCAACTGTATCTTCTGGTAGAGAGATGGAAGTGTGATGGTCACCTGATCTTCCCAGAACTCTATAGAACTGTCCTATTAGTAGTAGAGAGATCAGTCCATTCTGATGAGAAGGTGGGTGCACCCCAAAGGTATATATATTTTGTTCCACATACAATATGACAAATAAGTTTGAGCTTTGTAACACTTTTATTATAATTCTTTCTTTTTTTTTTTTTTTTTTTACATTTCATAAGTTATATACTTTTACTGGGATTTATATTTATTATACTAAAGTGTTGTTGATCATGTGTTTTAATGTGAGAAATTTGACCATTCATTCAGAAATAATAAGGGTGATATCAAATTGGCTCACCAATTGTATATCTAAGGAAAGAGCTGAATTATATAATCTAATTTTGTCTTTGAAGTTTCTGGGTCACAACAAAAAATTACCCTTGACATAAGGGTAACAGTTTTTAAATTTCCTATCAGTGGAACATTCTGATAAAATGTTG